CCTGCTAGCATACCGAATTCAGATTACTAGGCTTCGGTGGCTAGTGCACGTAATGCGTATGCCGAGCCTTCGTTTGCCGCACCGCGCTTTATTCGCTGTAGCTAATCTGGGCTGGAGGAAACCATGTGGAGGTCAACAGATGACGTGGAGACGAGGAATGAAGAAATGCACAGAGCCATCAGGTAGAGCAGGTGTCTCTCGCCTTCCAGGTTGGGGTCCGAAAGACTCCACAACTGGTTGGTTGGATACATTGACGGATATGGCAGCAAACCGACAGCAGTGGCGNTGTGCACTATATATGTGTTGACCATAGTGGTTCACCTTCTTCCCCCTCCGTCAAAATAGGTCCAATCCCTTTCCACCGTAAATTTTACCACAAACCTTGTATGCGTTGTGAGTTTGGCAGCAATCAGTGAAGTTCGCCCCACTGCGTTTCGCTGTACGATGATGATGGTCAATAGACTTCTCACGATAACCGTTTTTCAGTAAGGTTCTCTCTGTAGGGAACAGCTTACAAGGTTCCGTTTTAGAGAGGATGGAACCAAGCTATGAAAGTTTAGTTGTACTGTCCGCTCAGTGTTATTTTTCGATGTATCGTCCTCGGGCTAAAGCCATTTGAGCGTCCAGTAAGATCGAAATTCAGGTATGGGTGGGGGTGGGCAATCATTCCCCTCTGGTACAGTTATGAATTTAACTGAAGAATGTGCTGCCTCTGAAATCCTCCGTATGGTTGGGGTGGGTGTCTAGGTTTGCCGCTGGTCACCCTGCCCTTGCATCTCGCGGAATGCTCCCATACGACACCAAGCGTCTCTAATCGCCTCTGTTGAGGAAACCCTACTCAGTGCATTCTCGTGGGGCGGTGTTTTCCTACCAAAGTGAGCGAATGAGAAGCTGACATCCGGGGCTCTAACCGAATTGGTAGACCACTGGCATTTCCCTTAGGGAAAATAGTTCAAAACCCTGTTTCCAAACCAGCCACACACGCAAACCTTTCCGATTGTGGCAACGGTCACCGACTCGATTGGTCATCGAGTTGTATTGGTCACCTTGAACGTTTGACCCCGTCCGAAGGGTGTATGATGCGATGAAGTGGACACCGGCTCCCGATGGATTGCGGTTTTCACACACCGCTCCGCTGCCCTACGGATCAGGCCTTGGCTAGCCGAAGGCCACCTGTCTTGGCCTGGGCAACCTGGCAGTTTTCGGCCCACTTGCAAATCGTAAAACGTTTTTCTTTTTATAAAGATTTGTCTACCATGATTTGTATGGACCCATATATATGTGCTACGTGGAATTCTGATAAAATATAGTCGAGATTTGTGTTCCTATCAGGCACGCAAAAAATATCATCCACGCGTTGTATATCAGGTTGTGTGTTTTGGGTAGACCATATCGGCGAGGTACGTTAGTGCCAACAGATTTGAGTGCTATCTCCAGAAAAATCCCCCGCCGATTCAGGTACTTACAGTTTTAATTATACTATTCGGAACGTCTGATTGACTGGATAGACTGATATTGAAGTTTGAGATTAGTTGCCCACATCGACACAATCACCACCACCACCACCGATTGTGATGTTGATTTGCTTCAACCTATTTGTGCTGCACAGTCTTGTCAACAAATGCTACTCACAAGTAATTGTGAGTCAAATGCTAAACATAGACAGATTCGTGAATCTAAGTGAAACCATGGTCTAGGTGAGTCGCACTGAACAAATCCGGGACTTCTATAATGTATTCCAATGGCCAAGATCACCTGTCACTTGACTGAAATTAATCGCTCGTATGCAAACGATTCACCCAATCTGGTGTATGTGTATTCATTCCCCTTTCAAAACTAGATGGGAACTTTGAAGGCTTCTGTTTGTCACCATATTCGTGGTTGTACTTGTCGTTATATTACGATTTCTACTGCTCGTGCTAATCCAACAGTACCTTGAGGTTATCAGTCTATAATGATATTCTAAATCCTGGCTGGTGGTGGCGCAATGGTTGAGTTGCCGTCACCCGCGTGCTTTGGACTCTTTGGTTCGAGATTCGAACCCCGTCACTTAACCTGGGTATTAGGTAGCTTTGCTGTCGTCCGGTTCAATATCACACCTAACGTAGCGGGGCACTCCAAGCCCCGGGGTTTCCATCACTGATCAGCAAGTCCTCGTAACTGGGGAGTTTGCCCTGTCTACTGTTCATCATACAAGTATGTGTAATAAGAAAAAGCAGACAGTTATTTATTTCCCTCCTTGCCTCATTCCTACCGCGCATATTTGAATGCTTTCCTTTCTTCGCTCCTCGGTGGACCTGATGGACATCTTACTCTCTTTCTTGGTAAAATAACAACATAGCATTTGATTCCATGGGGTTAAAGTTTATTATGCTATTGATCGAACGTACTGCAAAAACCACGCCCGTGTGTGGTTTGTTGGGATATCTGTTCCCACTGCTGAACAACAGTTCGCTGTGGTTACAGGGTTCAATTTTTCTGCTGCCTGTCACATTCAAACGGTCGACGGCAGTGACTTTCTGTACTTTCTGTAATTATGGTGCTGCTGTGCTCGTTGTGCAAGCAGACATTATTGTGAATAAATGCATTTCCCATTCACCACAGATCGACACTGACTAAGCTTAAACCGAAACCTGTTATTTCTGTCTATAAGTCCCACTTACATAGACCGTGTTCTGTGTTGCAAGTTTTCTACCCGTTGTTTGGCCTATTGTAAATAATGCAACTTAACCGAGATTCGTACTCTTGAGCTCGCGCGCACACACACACACACAGACAAATCATCCCGCTCATCTGTTGATGAGACACAACCAGGTCGAAACAGCTGTGTAGTACTATCTCTTAGCTTTTCAATTCACACTTCATTTGCTCTATACACACGAAAACATTGAAACATTGAATCAAATCCTCCATCGCCCTCATGTTATTGCCCTCATCAGAATTGTACGCATCACATCACAACTGGCATCGTCGTTTACGTGTGGCAATCGCCTCGGGTGATCAAGTGGTTTTGCGCAGTCTGCTTCCGGAAATCTATCCGAAAAAGACAACTCTGTCCGATCCGGACGATGTGTCTTCCAATGAATGTGCTTCTGCCGCCGGTAATCTTTTTTCGGGTTTCTTATAATAATAATCTTTTTACCTCCTTTATTTATTGAATATGCAAATGTACAATCACTTATCAAGAAAGGTACTGTGGTTAGCCATAGGTCGCCTGTGGAAAATATAGAAATGCATCGTCTTGGAGGTCATGTGTTCAAATTGTTCTAGACGCTGTCTTACCTAAACCCTTTCTAAGAATTTACTGGTTCTTTGAGAGTAAAATTCGCAGGAAAAAATTGGTTGCTAAGCCTGTTACCCATTGCGTTTTGACAGGATCTATGCTGTTCTTCAGAGAGCTGAAAAACAACGCAGATTTAGGTAAAAAAATAACATCTGTACTTAACAGTTTCACAAGCAGCATTATCAAGTTCCATCACGAGAGATTCGTAAATGGGCTTTTTCGTACGAGAAGCTAGGTTTAGTACTACTCGATAAAAAACAATATATTTTCTTAGAACAGTAATGACAAACCCCGCTGTTTGAATGCGCCTAGAGTAAACTGGGAATATATTTCATTCATAGAACCATGCGCTCATGGTGTAGATTTTTGACAAACTCGCGTAGGACCACATAGTTTGACTCTCAACCGGAACATTCACAGTTCTAGTCCGAGATAAGCATGAAATGTCCAATACTGTTCGTACGCACAAACGTTCTCGTTGTATGGAAAAAATGAAGTGATCCAATTTTTATCGGCTGTCTCTTTCTCTCGTTAGCGGATTCCATCTCCCCACGGTCATCCGCATCACACACTCCATCGGCCGGAGTCTGTTCCGTGTTACTGAACTATCCGCTTGCCGAGGGTCGCACTTTGTTACACGTGGCCGTCGAATTTCAACAGGAACCCGAAGTGGTCAGCCTGTTACTCGAAAGCGGCTGTGATCCTACAATCCGGTAAGGTTATCTCTCTCTCTCTCACACACACAAGTTTTTCAAACTGAATTAAGTTTTTTCCTTGTCTTATTGTACAGTGCTAACACACACACACACACACCTTTTGTAAATCTTAGCAGCACCCGAATGTGCAAAATCATCTGTAAGTTTGACTAAAGGTGACCAACCTCACTGAGGGAAATAACGTGCCCGCCTCCCTTGCTGGACCGGGCTCGCTTCAATTTGTCGTCGAACGTCCGTACGGATACTAGCAACCGGGCCTATTCAGTATGTTCGACAGGCTGATCTAAACTACGATTCTGTGACCCCGTAATCGCAGTCAGTGATTCCACGCTTACCGCGCTAGCGACGACCGTCAAATAGATCCTGCTGATATCGGGGTAATAATCCATTGTGAGTGCTTATCGTGAGATCAAACGGTACAATGATTCCAAATCCGCTTACGCGCGATGAGTGTGAGGCGCCAACAACGACAAATCAAGCTAAAGCGAATGAGAGAAAGAGAGCGGTACAATTCGGTACCTATGCTGTTGCATACTCCTGAATCGTGGAATCGAATATAAGAATGGGGCTCGAGTTGAACGTGTTCGTGCGCAACATAGGGCGTGTGGTCCCTCGGGATGAACCGTAAGGCTAGTTTACTAGATTCAACGCGGATTGGAAAGCTCTATAGTGTTCACTCATAGACTATTCATACTCTCTCTCTCATCCCGATTATGTTCTGAAAATCCTGGTTGTAGTCGCGGTTACCGGTTCAATGGGGTATATGGATTTGTATTAGGCACCTTGGACGTATGACTCCATCCAAAAGGCACAAGATCCGATGAACTCGACACCGGTTTCCAATGGATTGCAGTTTTAAAGCGCTCCGCCGCCTCGCGAATCGGGCTTTGGCTAGCCAACGGCTTCGATTGTGAATTCCCCGAGAAAATTCGCCCGCTTTGGTTAGGGCAACCTGGCAGTACCGTGCCCACGAACAAATCATGAAACATCTTTCTTTTTCCAAGGATCATTGTACTGTGTTCTATTTTTCGGCACACCGTCTGGCCTCAGACGTGTGTGAGATATCAAAATAAATAATATCGGTCGTAGATTGGGCTGACCAGGGAAGAATTACCTGAACGTTCATGGTGATTGAGCTTTCCTGTCGGTTGTTCAAATTTTCAAAAACCAATGTTGATGGCGTTGTAAACAGGAGTTGGTGTGGTAAACCGAATAACCAGGAAGGGAGGTTGTTTTCATGTCATGTCAGTTCACCAGTTGCATTTTTTCGCTTTCATCTCGTTTTTGGAGTATCATATGTTTGGATTAGTCCATTTTTGCTTACTCACATGCACCACCGTTCATAATCTTTGGCACAAATTTCAATTCTTGCGATATCATTGATTCCCCACCGGTTAAGCGCATTTATATGATACTCCAAACCAATCGAGTCATTTACTCAAGATGTTTATTGTCGATCATGAAGCTCTGGGGTAAGAGTTACTACTCCCGGTCCGAAGGTTCGTGGTTCGAGTCCCAAAAGCTACTTGTGAAACAGGTCGGAACACCCCTTCACTGTTCTTTATCGGTCACCACAATCATTTCTGGCGCGTTTCCTAATTTTCCTGTTTTCGTTTTGTTGTTGCCTTTGTGCGCCGAATAAACAACACAATGGTTTTGTTTTTGTCTCGTAAGTCGAGCAGTGCAGCTTGGTCCTCGTCATAGACGTCATTGCCGGGGTCGTTGGATTAACTCGTCCAAATTCGTTGTTTGGTCAGCCTCCAAGTGGGTGTTGTGATCAAATGCTACTTATAGGTCCACCGAAAGCCTCAATATTGTCGGGTTGGATTTCTCGGATTGTGACTGGTTACCATTCCCTTACACCTCGCGAAATGCTCCCATACGATCAAACTTCTCCAATAGCCTCTGCCCTTCCCTTCGCGAAGGTGTTTTCCCACCAAGATGAGAGG